AAAGTAAGTAAATTATTCTTGCGATACTATCACTTCTGTTATATATATATAGATCAGATATGATTTGTATTAATTAGGTGTTAAATCTGTCAAAAAAACGATTATCTCTTAGTTGACGAATCTGTTTCTGATGATTATCTTTTAGTATATGAGTATCTGTTATACTTGTGATCGCCAATTAGGGAGTAGTGAATTATTGACCGGACCAATGACGCGTACAACACTTGCAAGCACCCTAGAGTCCTTATGTTATGTCCCGACAAGAATAATGAATGGTAGCTTTCGGGATCTATTGATGGACAAATACTAAACGTATATTTTTATTGTATAATTATTAAGTGACTAAACTATGCTTATTCATATTCCTCATATTATAAGCTTTGTTTTGACCCATAAACTATTATTATACGTTTTACCACTCCTGAGTTATACCCAGTATATTAATTACTACCTCCCTCATTCACAGCCACATCTGGCTAATTCTTGTACAAATGTTGTTTCATATTTTATTGGAGCGTTGTGGTCTGTTTAATTCGTATATAAACTCAGTATGTTTGAAATATAATGATTCATATTTCAGAGGCTGAGACTGGTGTTCTGGACTTAACTGGCTGGGCTAGGCGGAAAGCAGGACCGATCAGGACTCTAGGCTACCCGCACGTGTTTTACACGTCATTGATCCGATCGATAAGTCACTGCCCTCTAACCGGCGGTCACAAGTTATAACACCTTATTAGACCTGCTTCCTGCCTAGCCCAGCCAGTTAAGTCCAGAACACCAATCTCAACCTCTCCAATATGAATCGTTTATTTCAAGCATACTGGGTTTATATACCAAACAGATAGACCACATCGTACCATAAAATAGGAAATAACATTTGTACAAGATTTGGCCAAACGTGGCTGTGAATGTGGGAGGTAGTGATTGATAGACAGTCCATAATTCAAAATGGTAGATCGTATAATAATAGTTTATATGTCAAAATAAAGCTCATAATAAGTGGGTCATGAATATGTATAGTTTAGTTATTTAACAATTATACGATAAAAATATAAGTATAGTATTGGTCCATAAATGGATCCCAAAATTTACCATTCATTATGCTTATCGGGACCTAACAGTATCCTGCGCAAATACATCAGGCTGACAAGTCCCAAAAAGAACAATACGCACATCCTCAATTCCACTGCTGGTCACAGTTCAACTTTGCTCATAAGATATGAACAAACGATTCTGAATAAGTTTAGTCGCTGATTATACAGAAGGCAATAAAAATACGATTTTATTTCAAATACTAAAATATGCCTAATAATACAAACGTTCTAGTGCATAGTTCACTAGAAAACATTTAGCGATACACTTCATACTGCTATACAACCTTATAAGTAGTTCAGAACTAATCCTACAAATTCAAAGTTCTCACTACTTACGCCTGTTACTCATTGTGAAGGAGCATAGGCCGCCCACCAGCACTCTCCACCCAACCCTATCCTGGACTCACTAACCAGACAATATTGAACTAAGGATATATATGAATTAGCTTTACTGTTCTTATTCGTCTTACCATTTAGATCATTTAATGAATCTTACATTGTGACCTATCAATCGAAGACTTGAAATGAAAAGCATTATTCATCAAAATTATTATGGAAAATTACCATCAATAGGAATGAAAATAAATGACATTCAGCTAATACTGAAAAAATATATATAAAGACCGATCATTAGTTAGATTCCTACCTGCAGAGTCGTGGATGGTCACTGCTGGGGAGTGCCTACACTGAGACAAAACAGCTGTCCAGTGCTTCTAGGCTTTCGAATATTGTCTAACATAGATCAGTCCGTGATATCAAGAAAACGTAACGAAATAGTTTGTTAATTTAGAAATCTACGAAAATCGATGAGATACTGCTTATTTCTTGTTGAGAAATCTTTATTCCAATCGAATATATGGTACTAAATAAAGTGAAAATTAATATTATCATTATCATTGATACCTTAATCCTATTTATCATACTGTTGTGTCTTGACATAAATACTGATTACTAGTACGACTGTTTCCTGTGACCCCAAAATAATTGCCTACTAACACTAATCGCAACAGAATATGACTAGTATGTTGACATAAGGAAGAAAACAAAACTGTACAAATGGACTGATTTATTCACCGATCACTAATTAATAGGATATTGAAAACGATCATGAAATATTTGACATTTTAAATGCTCGATCTATAAGTAAATTCGAGTACATTGAACTATTAGTCAATCAGTAATTTAATGTGTTTATATAACTTACAAAATCAATAAATCAACTGCCTTATCTGTAAGATATAACTCGTCACGTGATCATAGATTTGTCTTCTTACCACATACACTACTTGTTAGTACCTTATATTGGTAGATATAAAGTCTTGCCTCTATTAGTACATGCCGATTTTGTGAGAAATGATTCAACATTGCTACTATACCCCCATAAGCATTATAGGCAGAGTCGGATAGTAACTGCTTTTGAACCTTTGAAGCGAAAGGTACTAGGTTTGAGTTCTAATGTGGGTATCAACATTAGAATGCAAGCATACCCATCTGACGAATCTCAAGTAGGACAAACACGTGTCTAGATCCCACTGCTAACCAATACCCAACTTTGCTTGACATATTAATGAGTATAGAGAGTTTGTGCTTACTAAACATTGAATTTAGCAGGTAATTCAACGAGTTCTACTGAAAAGTCATGACAAGTGGAGTCCAACCATGTTGTGTAAGAGATAGTCATTCACCACAAGCATTGGAAGATGGTCGCACAATACAGTGAATCGATTAAAGTTGCACAAGTACACAAATGAATGCTGACTCGATGGTGAGGTGCTCTCTGCAACATCGAAGGCCATGGGTTCGATACTCAGTAGAGTCGTTGATACGTATTACTTAGGTGTCCCATACTAGGATGAAACAGATGTTTATTGCTTCCGGGCTTTTGGTAGTTGCTTCACTAAGACCAGCTGGCAATGTAAACTATGAAATATTATTAAATATATTTGAAGATTAAAACACGAACAATTTATTCATTCATAGCCAATTATATTATTAGTCCTGGAATATACTAGGTGATCATCTTATTACACATTGTTAAACATTCTCTAAGTATTTGAAATGAAATTATGTTCTTTAATATAGTAGACGAAATCGTTCATGCAAAGATTCTTGATGTTTTAAAGTAAATCCATCAACTAAGAGATAACCGTGTTTTTTTAACAAAATTAACATTTGATTAAAACAAATGATACCTGATTTAGATGTATAAGAGAATTGTTAACACTCTAAGAATAGTTTACTGCTATAATATAACCAGCATATATTGTTTTTACAACGATATTAAACACTTTTTCAAAGACCGACAGAAAAATATCTTATATACTTCATGATGAACGTTCTGTAAGTATGGAAATACGAATATTCAAGTATATGTATATGTTAGCTCTCATCTCATATAGCTTTTATTCACTTGATAGAACCTTTGAAACAAATCCAAATACACTAGATTCTACTCTAAGTATACCGGATAATTTTTGCCATCATTTCATAATGTAACATTATCAATGATTTGAATCTATAGGATCTGTATGTTATTTTAAACGGTATTTAAAGTTATTTTTCTGTGTTAAAAGGAAGTTGAACCAAACAACAAATCAATGAGTTGGTTTATCTATTATTTAACACAAGTTAGTTGTTGAATTAAATTCATGGTAATAATAACGACGTTGACCGGAAAAAACCGTATCTGAATTCTGTTACATTAATTCTGATTCAAACGACCCGGTAACAGTAATCGTATCACCTATTGATCATATCAATTATAAAGTGTTTACAATTACAGAGCTCTATTGGGCTAAATTAGTTAAAACAAGGCGACATTATGAAAATAATCTATCAGATTATAAGAAAAGATGGATAGTGGTTAACAGTGGAATCCAGGACACGTGTTTCGTCCCATTTGGAACTCGTTAGCTGGATGCACCTGCATCTTAAAGTTGATGTTCACTCTTGGACTCGAACCCGGTACCATTCGCTTCAAACGCCATCACATTATACACTTAGCGATATCGAGGCAATACGCACAGTATGCATATATGCCAATAAGAAATTGACCAATTGCAGTCTTAAACATCAATAGGAAGATTCAATTAAAACAATACTGTGACGACGGACCACCGGCGAACTCGAGGAAGGTGTAAGAGGCTCAGGAGCCGAAGACGTTCCATCCAATCACCTTTCGGAAGAATATTCTAGGATTCCTACGTGTAGCTTCCCGATTGGATAATGCTAATAACAAATACCAAGTGAATTCTATCAGATTATTATTATTATTAATAATAATAAATAATAATAATAAACATTCCTTCGAATTACTCTTTTTTAGAGAGAGAAAAGAAAAAGGAAAAAATTGATAAATACTAACTGTGATAATAAAAGCCAAATGAGAAATTCTCATGGACAATAAACAAATTAACAATGATAAAATATCAAGCAATAATAATAATGGTAGTAACAAAGACAATTTTCCAAGAAGATAAGGTCACTGATATGAACAAGTAATTAACAACAAAAATATTATATGATGAAAATAAATACTAAAGAACCGGAAAACAAAACAAACAACTAACATAAAACAAAATACATTTGAGTTTTTACAAAAACAAAATGGCGCTTTATGGAGATTGTGGAAAGGCAAATAGATGAGTGAAGTACACAGGGGGGGAGGGGAATTAGAGAAAACAGGGCAGAATAGTCTAGAATTGTTTTCTTTTTTTTCTAGTTCATCTTCATGATTTACAATAACATGTCAATAATAATAATAATAAATATTCTGGTTAATGATAAATAGACAGAAAGAAATATTATTAAGTATACATAATATAGACAAAAATAATTAATAAACATTCATTTATCCCTAGTTATGTATTCATGATTTATGGAAACAGCTAAAAAGTGTTCGTTTACCTTTTTTGAGTTCATTTCCTGATGGATCTAATCTATGATATGAAATAAGGAAAGAATATGTAGAATTTTGATAAGAATGAGGTTTGTTAAAGAAAACTGTTAAAATACTTCGAGCTGAAAATTCTATATTGTCAGAAGGGGTTTGTGGAGATTTTAGAAATTTCACAGGTTGAAATCATGAGCCAGTTGAAGCTAGACCACCACGGAAAACCTGGAAGCACTGGACGGCCAGTAGGTCCTGAGTTCGAATCCCGCGGGGTAAGGGATCGTGGATGCGCACTGCTGAGGAGTCCCATACTAGGATGAAACGGCTGTTCAGCGCTTCCGGGTTTTCCATGGTGGTCTAGCTTCAACTGACTCATGATTTCAATCAGTGAAATTTCTAAAATCTCCACAAACCCCTTCTGATAATAATCATCTGCTCACTAGTGACTGACTTCAAGAGATACTCCTGGAGTTCTGGTGGGAAGCCGTTACCAGTGGAGTATAACCAGGTCTGTTGTGAGATATTAGCTCACTGAAGATAATGGTATACGGTGGCGCAACTTCGTGGATTGGTTGAAGTTAGACATTAACACAGTTGGATGATGGCCAGCTCAGTGGTCTAGTTGGTTAAGTGCTCGCGCGCGAAGCCAGTAGGCCCTGGGTTCGAATCCCGCGGGGTGTTGGATCGTGGATGCGCACTGCTGAGGAGTCCCATACTAGGACGAAACGGCCGTTCAGTGCTTCCAGGTTTTCCATGGTGGTCTAGCTTCAACTGACTCATGATTCCAATCTGTGAAAATTCTATATTGTACCAAAAATATAATATTGAATAAAGCCAGAAAAAGAAAGTGATCAACACATTGAACAACTTTCCTCCTTATTTTTAGCTTAGGTGGTGACGCAAACCAGTACTAAGACAACGTTCTGCATTTAGGTGGGAAAAAACGTATCTTAAACATGCTTATATTATCGTATAAGGTGGTCAGAAGACTCTACACTTTTTTTACACCAGTTTCAGAAAAGAGAATGAAGACAGTTAAACAACTTAATGGATATAATGAAAAAATAAGAGATATAAAAACTTACCCAAAAACAAGATATTCATAAAACCATTGAGGTACAATATGAAGAGAGAATGGTGAATTAGCACGTTCAACTAATAAAACTATTTTCTCATCTAATAAACGAACAGTACTATGACCATCAATTTCAGTAATATAATAATTCAATGGAATTTTATCACTTTTTGCACTGAAATATTTTGTACGATCTAAAATCATACCATCATTGATGAAAAGACCACATTTTCCATGAATTTTATAAATTGTTTTAACTTCTCTATAAGGGCTAAATAAACAAACAAACATGAAAACAATATGAATAAACTTGTACAGTCGATTCGCTATATTGTTTGTTTGTTTACTATAAATATAACTTCTTGATGTATGAGATGTATGAGATAACTATTATATACAAACGAAGAATAAAGGAATGGTAACATCCAGGACTAACTTACGGATTGGTGTTATATACATATAGGCCGCCTACCAGGATTCTTCAACCAACTCTGTCTACTTAGCGTATGTGGCGAACATTGTGTCATCGACTGATTCCAAAATAATGCCTTCTATCATAATACGTACATAATGAGAAACAAGTGTAATTTTGAGTCTTTAGGAGCAAGTCAGGTTTTATTTAGCTCATAAATGCACCAATTACGTCCTTACCTGTCTTCATATGCTTCGACACCACTACGTGTATTACAGGTCACCAATAATTATTATATTTCTACACACTGGAGCTATATTTAATTCGTTGGATGGAGTTGTCTTCTAGTATTGTTGAATATTAGTAGATATTTGCGATGTTTACTACAATTTTTAAGACCTTGTCAAAAACATTTCAGGTAGGTCAAAGCCACATGACCATATTCCTAAATTGTTCGAAATTGGAAGTACTGTCGTTAAATCCACTCAATTAACTACAATTACGCTATCAATCACATTCTAAGGGTGTAAATTTATCACTAGTTGAAAGGTGTTTTGTCCTTGAGTATGAAAACATCATTTCAATATGAAATGAGGTACAGACTATTCATTTCATCAATTGTTGATCAGCAACCAGAAGTATAGTATTTGTTTAGCACGAATGAAATGTAAAGCACTTCTACAAGACTGATATGAATCTATGGCTTCACTCACACTTTATAGTGTATTGCTCAAAATATTTAAAAACTTTGTGTACACTTGTGGCTGTGTAAATGCCAGAACAAGATCAATATTAATGTAATGCAAACCTGAGAGCCACATATCAATATGAATCATTGGATGAATGTTACTATCTTGGAAACATCCAATCTGGTGGTTGAGCCACATTTTACAAATGTCCTCTCAGAGGCTCCCCATAAAGAGAATTATTTTTCGATACTTAGATAAGATGGAAAGAAATTGAGACGCACTGTTGAAGGTAATGTATTTGTATGGAGCTAGCAATCTTTTGGTTTACAACAATAGACTAAAGGGATTTATGTTTTAAACTATTTACATTATTTATTTGATTACGTAAAATGTTATCACCTATAGGTCGAAATAAAAGCCAATGATGATGCTGAAATGATTTTTTTATCATATCCCTTGTGAACAGCATGGTAGACCATTTAAGTGAACTTGGACTGCTTCAGTTAATACTTTTTACCGTAGTTTTTAAGATTTATTCCATTTTATTTATTGGCTCCCTCTTTGTACCAAACACCTTTTGTGCGTAATAAGTCTTAAAATACAGTTGTTAATACTTGAGTTGAAACTTTGTTAATCAATAATCCACTAATATAAATGTAACCCGTCGAGCAACTGAAACGCTTAACGTGTTGGAGTGATCCAGAAAATTTCTTGCAAAAGACAAGCAAGGATCAGGAAACACTAAGAAGCGTTTCATTCAAGCAGTGTTCACTTAACGTTTTAGCCAAAAATATCAAGGAAGCGAAAAGTCACATGCAGAGGTTCTGACAGGCTGATTGTTACACTGCTAGTATGTTTAGTAGCATTCCAGAATCTTCGAGCAACCCAAAAACATTCTAAAATATTATAAAAACCCTATATTTTCTGTGTTAAAATGAACCTTGGAGTGAAGTACTTCTCGCATACTTTGCGTCTTCTCTCTCGTTGTTCAGGTCGCTGTATAGTTCTAGCTTGGGGGTTACATAATAGCTTAGGAAACGAATATGGCGTTCAATCCGCAAGACTTATCATAACGTATCTAACCAAATCAGCTATTAGTATTAAGTTAGTCAGTCAGTCATCTACAACACAGGACCAGGCAAATATATGCATCGGTTCAAGTTTCCATACATCATTAGTACAATAAAATGAACACCAAATTCATAGAAAGTTACTTCAGTCGCAGCAATATATATATAAAAGACTGTATATAAGGATATGATACAGGCAAAAAGAACTACTTCATAAAAAGAAAGGTATAAAGTAAATTTAATCTCACGGTTTAAGGGAAGATAAAGAGTGTATACACCAACGCCTTTGTGGTCGATTCTCAGACATGTCGCCCAAGTTATTAGTATTAAACTGGACACTAATTTAAACCACAACTGAAATAAACTTTTTCATCTTGGGAGTAAGTAAGACGATTCAAGCACTCCGATATTTCACATCAACGTATCGTGACATGACGAAGTAATTATTGTGCCCATTGACAAAAGAAGTTAATTTGGCCTGAGAATAATAAAATATCAAACTGCACTTCTGAAATGCGTTACACAAACTGAAACGCACATTTTTCCACTTAATATAAATCAAACATTATTAATACTTATGTTCATAGGGTAGGTAACTTTGGGACGTTATGTCTCCCCTATGTCTTTTCAATTCAATTCGTTTTTTTATTTGTTAGGTAACAATTAGAAAACTATGCAAATTCAATTTTCACTCTTTAAGCGGTCCAAATAACTATTAAGTACTTTTAAAAACTATTTAAATAAGAGAAAACAAGCATAATCTTACCAGTCGATAAAAGAAAAATTTACAGTTGGATGTGTTTCTTCAATAAGTTGTTTAGCTTGAGTATAAGATGTAACTTCTGTATCATTTATGCATTGAATCTTATCACCAAAACGTACTTTATTCAACTTTGCAGAAGATCTTTCGTCTACATGAGAAACAAATAATCCCTTTAAACAAAAGAAAAACAAATCCAAAATAAATAACGTGTGCAATTTATTGAAACAGAAAAAAAACCAATGAGAAACGAATGACAATAGCATATCTGATTATGATAATACACTTTGCATCCTTCAGAATGACTGTAATCTAAGCTACAATCCCAAATGTAATAGGCTTGAACTCAATATTTTTAGAAGCAAAAGTTTAAACTATATTTAGGCTTTTTCTCCAAAAAACTTGATAAACTCTTTTACATCCACTAATGAGATAAAATATTTCAAAAACACCTAGTCACAGGAGTCGTAGCTATTTTTTCACTAGTGAAACGTTTTTATCCTACATCTCTTTATATTAATTACTTTACTAGTAAGCTTTCAAGATGTCGGAATAACCTACTCTAATCTGTCAGTGAAATAAAATCACTAGGATCAGTTATTCATTGCATTAACATATATCTCTCCCCTAAAAAATCCTTAAAGGTGCATACATCTGGAACTAGACTCTATTAAATGTTTAATCAATGTTATTACCAAGTGTACTAATTAAAATTTCCTAGCTGCAAATATTTTACATTTACAGAGTCCCTGGTAAATTTAACTAATTTAAATAAAATCCATCCCAATCCGTAGATTATAAAAGCAACTCAACACTTGGATAGCGGCAAACGAATCAAAAGAATTTTTATTGCTCCAGTTCTATGCTCTCTCTCTCTCTCTCTCTCTCTCTCTCTCTCTATATATATATATATATATATATATATATATATATATATATATATATAAATTTAATACCTGTTTTATTTCTGTAAATGTAAAGCCGACGTTATTATTTTTGGTTTTAGCAATTGAAATTGTTCGACAATTAGGACCACCATCTTCAATTAAGGATACCAGACTAGGACTAAGTGGTAATTGTGTACAACTTTGTATTGGTAATACAATATCATCATTACTAACATCACCATTATTGACATTATCCGTTGAACTAGGAGTTTCTTTCTTTTCAGTGACACATGAGGTTGAATTATCACGCATAGCTAACAATCCTGTGATCTCCAATATTTCATCATATGATGTTACAATCTCCTTAGAATTTTGATCGTCCTCAGACATTGTACTTTTTTATAATATAATTCATTGAAGAGCCGAATGAATAATCTTCAAAAACTACTGGTTACTAGTTTACAACCCGATTCATCCGGGAGTATAATACAAGGTCCACAGATGATATGCTTATACAAAACAACTAAGCTGTAAAGAACATTTGAGTTGTAACGTGGAGTAGTTTTCAAACTGGAGTTAAAAAAACCTAGAAAATGAGTAACGAAAAGGACAACCACTAGAATATAAATGTTCTAATATTAAAAACTGACTCTCGTTTTCTTTAAGTATATTTGTCGCAAAGATGTTGATTAATATAAAAATTGAAAGTCTTTCATCCGTTAAATGTAAGATGTTTGGTAACTAATTTTTCTCGAAAATTCCCGTTGTTAAAGAGACTATAAACTTGATATGACTATGAAATAATACTGTTCTGGATAACCTCTCAATGTCTTATAATGCAAACACTCCTGGATAATGCTTTATCAGAAATTGTAACTGTCATGAAGGACGCCTTTGATGATTTGATGAGACTAAATGTTGGATTGTTAAAATCAATAAATCAAAGGTTAATTAATAGATAAACATAGTGATATGGTGCGACTGAGTGGTGGCTGTTTACAAGACCGTATTATTAACTCAAGCCCCATATGATTAGAAATCGAAGACGATACTACTGAGCCAGAAAATAAGACACTTTCATCACAAAAATAACTTGCTTATATACATAATTTGAATACAAAATAAACATGGCCAACTGTCATAGGCGATCAAAAGGTATTAGTTCGTAGGTCATACATAATCCAATCAACCAAAGCCTACCTGTAAGGTTCAATTTTCGGGGATCATTTCAAAAACCAAGATTCAATCACGAGGATTGATTCAATAGCATCAAAGTCGCATACTACAAGGCTTTTACCCTTGTCACACCAGGACTTAAGTTTACTTTGGAGAAAATCATCTGCTACACATTCTGGACTGCGATATACTACAACTAATTCAATATCTTGCCGTCTACATTTCAGCTTACATCGCATAGGTTCACATGTCCCTGAAACATGTGCCACTGTCTCAGCTACTCTTATGGTTAGGGTACTTTTCGTGTACATGATAACCCTGTCTCCTCTATGGTTTAATCTATCAGCCCTACTGGTTAAAAAACCAGTCAACTGAATTTCATTATCTAGTACTTCTGACGTTAACCAAGTTTCCGAGACAGCGATAACATCCGGTTTTTCTTTATCCACCATTGGCTTGAGCTCCGCCACTTTATTTAGTAGGCTGCGAGCATTTGTGCAGCGTACCTTTAAGTCTGTGGAGAACTTTTCCTTACCGTCCAGAATGGTTTGGGGATCGTTTCGCTCCGAACTTTTACAATTTGAAAACCCTTAAGAACGAGGTTTCTTTCGCCGTTTCAGTGACGCTAATTTATCTCCACTTCTGCAGCTTGTCTCTTATTACAATCAGCTAGGCTGAGATCCTCACGGACGTATATTCCGGATCCAATCAGTTTACATGAGTTACCTAGAATCAGGTTCCTTTCTTCAACCGTGGCAAATGCAAAAGATTTTTCTGTTGAAGACAGAAATCCATGTAGTAAGGTGAGATGCGATATTGTTCATATCACCCTTTCTGACCCCCTTCTTTCATTTTGAGAAAGTAGCATCGCTGCGGATGTTGGTTCTTAGAAAAACACCTTAATCTTGCCACGCAAATATGAAGTCAGCAGTACTTCGTTCCTGAACCTTAACTTACTGCTTTGGAACCAGTGAGCTTACAGTCGAATGATAGACAAGTTGGTCTTAAGTTTTAGAGAATCATATTTGTAATTTGACAAGATTAACACGTATTTTAAGTCAGCTAAAAAAAGTACCACTGATAAGCTGAAAGTCAAGATTCCTCGCCTATATACATTATGAGACTTTACAAAATACGTTTATGCTAGTTAATTTCGAATATTTATTGTAGACAGAGAACAGTACTGTTATTTGTCAAGTTCAGTCTTCAGTCTTCAGTAATAAGGATAGGAGGTCTGTCGACCTATATTAATCCTTGCAGTTTGTAATACTATGGAGGTCCAATCTCGTTTTGAATATATTAACAGATGGTGCTGATATTACGTGTTCCGGTAGAGAATTCCAGTAATTCACTACTCGGTGCGAGAAACGGAACTCCAAACGTAAACGGTTTGATCTCGGTTTTTGAACTTTCTTCGAATGTCCTCTCAAATGATCAGTCCTAGACGGAAGCAAAAGATAAGACATGTTAATACCAAGGTCATCGTTCAGTATACGATAGGCCAATATTAGATCACCCCTTATTCTACGGTAAGATAACGGAAATAAGTTAAGGTGTCTCAGTCTGTCTTCATAAGATAGGCCAGCTAGACCTTGTACCATCTTAGTAGCTCGTCGTTGGACTCTTTCTAGCATATCTGCTTCATATTTGAAACAAGGACACGCTGCTTGAATCCCGTATTCTAAATGTGGTCGCACATAAATCGGGTATAGTAATCTAAACATTTCATCATCTAAATACTGGAAAGACCTACGAATTGACCATAATACCCTATAGCCTTTTGCAGCAGCAGCCTTACAGTGACTAGTCGTTTTGAGATCATTGCTTAATATGACTCCTAAATCTTTATAGTTTCTTACTTTGGGTAGCACGAATCCACGTAGTGTATAGTCATACGATTCATCAGAGTTATTTAACTGCATCACTACACTCTTATTAGGATTTACTTCTAGTGACCACCTATCTAACCATGCCACTAATGAGCTAAGATCGTCCTGTAATACTATCCTATCCGACATGCTATGTATGGGTCTCCAAATCTTTGTCATCAGCGAAGAGTAGAACGGATGATTTTGCTACAGTTGGCAATTCATTTACATAAAGTGAAAAGAGAAGAGGACCCAGGATTGTACCTTGTGGAACCCCACTTTTTACAGGTACCCACGAGGACAGAGCCCTATTAACCTTTACCCTTTGTCTCCTGTCATGGAGAAAGTTACTTATCCAATCGACGATTGTACAATGGATTCCAAAACGTTTCAGTTTGAATTTAAGACCAGAGTGGGAAACCTTATCAAAGGCTTTACTTAGATCTATGAAAATCACATCCACAGGAGCATTCCGATCCTTTGCCGCAGCCCAATCTTCTCGTGCAATGAGAAGATTTGTCAAGCAAGATAGGCCTTTCCGAAAACCATGTTGTTCCCTGGAGAAAATATTTTGCCCTTCAGCATAGTTTATAACAGCTATCCGAATGATTTTCTCCATCAGTTTTACAACTGCACTAATTAAGCTAACGGGTCTATAGTTACTAACTAAATCTCTACTCCCAGCCTTATACACCGGACTTATTATGGCGTCTTTCCAGTCTCTAGGAAGTCTGGACTGTCTCAGAGACATGTCGAATAGTATCGCTAATGGTTCAGCAATTTCATCTGATATGGCTTTCATAATCCTAGGATGAATATCGTCAGGACCACTGGACTTATCAGGTTTGAGATGCTGGAGTAGCCTTAAAACAGTATCTTTCTCAATGACTACAGGATCCATCAGCGAGCCGTCACGGTCGCGACGAATCATTGGTCGTTCCTCATTACCGATAGAAAACACTTTACTAAAGTATTCCGATAAAGCTTCAGCTTTTTCGGCATCATTCTCTGCTAAGATTAACGGATTTTCTCGTATCAAAAGTGATGGAATTCCATCACTTCTCTTAGTTCGCCTTTTTATATACGAGAATAACCGTTTCGGACTATATCTAGAATCCTTAACCAACTGTTTTTCGTATGATAGTCTAGTTTTACTTATTAACGCTTTACAGGCATTCCTAATCTTACAGTAACTGGATCTGTATTGTTCATAGCCAGTAGAGATGAACATATCTCAATGATTCTTCCTTTTTCTAAGGAGTTTCCTGACCGTTTTAGTTATCCATGGTGGACTATTATTCGGTCTTCGCGGTACCAGGTATGGTATGAACGGGGACGTAACTAGTCTAAATTTACCTTTAAATACAGACCATGCTTCTTCAACTGATATGCTAGTATCTACTAACCAATCTGTCTTAGCAGCACATTCCTGAATGGCTGATATGTTAGCTTTCCATACATTTGGGCGAGGTGTAACCTGATCGTATAACATGTCCTTAGTTCGAAACGCGAATGACAAAACAGCGTGATCGCTGTTCACTAACGGCGGGAGAATATTTAAGTCGACAATATCCTCAGTCTCATGAGTGATTACCAAATCCAGCAGAGAAGAACCCTGGTTAACACCAAAACGTGTGGGTTGGGATACATGCTGTACTAGTGCATGCTCCATTATTGTCATCAGGAACTTACTATCAAAGGAGTTTATAGATCCTTCTGTGGTCATATCAGTCCAACTAATATCAGGTGCGTTAACTTACTTACTTACTTACTTACGCCTGTTACTCCTCGTGAAGGAGCATAGGCCGCTCACCAGCATTCTCCATCCAACCCTGTCCTGGGCAATCCTTTCCAGCTCCTTCCAGTTGTAATTCATCCTTTTCATATCTGCTTCTATTATCCGACGTAATGTGTTCTTTGGCCTTCCTCTTTTCCGCTTCCCTTCAGGATTCCAAGTTAGGGCTTGTCTCGTGATACAGTTTGACGATTTGCGTAATGTATGTCCTATCCATTTTCATCGTCTTCTCCTAATTTCCTCTTCAGCTGGAAGTTGGTTTGTTCTCTCCCACAGAAGGCTATTGCTGATGGTATCTGGCCAATGGATGTTGAGTATCTTGCGTAGACAGCTATTTATAAATACTTGTACTTTCTTGATTGTGGTTGTTGTAGTTCTCCAAGTTTCAGCTCCATACAGTAGAACTGCCTTGACGTTCGTATTGAAGATTCTCACTTTGATATTGGTTGAAAGTTGTTTTGAATTCCATATGTTCTTCAATTGTAGGAATGCGGCCCTTGCTTTGCCAATCCTCGCCTTTACGTCTGCATCTGAACCTCCTTGTCCATCGA